TGTATCCCCTTTAATATAAAACATAATGGCATTTATATAGGTGGCGGTCGCGATCTCGTTAGACGAGATATTGCGAGACGTCAAAAGATCTCGTTTAAATCTTGAGATTTGACAGCTCTCGCCCAGTAAACTTGTCAAGAGAAGAACACCGTTGTACGTCATTGTTGGTTTCTGGTTTCTTCTTGTGTTTATGTTTTTCAAACTTTATATTTTATCGGTCATCTTTATATAACTTTTTTTCGAAAAAAAAGCAAACATTTGTTTTAACGATGATGTAATTTTTCTATTTATCTGAGATTTCTAAGATGGTGGGTGGTAGATGGCCGAATGGTCTAACGCGTGCGCTTTATATAATAAGGTCTATCATTGAGTCAAGTGGCGTGGTTTCCAACCTACATATGTACGTGTCAAGGAGTAGGGTCGCCTGCTTAATCTCCTGGGGTTTCTCCGGGTTTGTCTCTGTGACAATATTTTTGATTTTGGAACCAGTTTCCGTTTTCTAGGGTTAAAGTGACTAGTTAGGTTAGTGTTGGTAGCCCTGAATTATTTAGCAGCATAATATAGTTATAGTTATTAATATCTACAATACAAAGTTGTATTCAGTACAACCAGTTTGCACCAGTGACATATCGGTACAACTAAAAATACACTTCTGTTCAGACACAATATTCCTGGCTAAGTCAGCGCATGATTGATATCTTGTCAGCATTCTGAAACTGCCGAAGTAGTTTTTGAAAAGGCGCGGATTGAAAGACGGCAAAAAATCAACAAATACAGGGTCCATTTCAGCGATGATAAATGAGTGTCTGAAACGTGTAAATAAAGTCTAGGGAAGTGGGAGAAAGTGATCCGATGTTCCAACACAGTCCCAATATGTACCAGGTGGTTTAACTATTGTATTTTCTAGCCACCATTTCGCATTTTCTCGTCTCGTTTGGCTGAAGTGTTTTGGCAGAATAAAGCAGTTTTTATTGTTGCTGTATATGCTATCAATAAAGAGAGGAGCATTGGTGTGAAAGATGAAGGTATATAGTATACTGTCTCTTGAAATGGATCCAATGTAAATGTATTTGTACTTGTTAACATTATTGGTACCGTATCAGAAATGACACGTTGAATGCTAAAGGGGTGTTGAAGCCCGAACAGAAGTCATTAAGAGGTGCGGTGTACTCGCATTCCTTGATATTTTTGTCTATATTTTTCACAACCGATATGAAAAAGACAGTTAGTTGTCGATGAGAGATTCATTATGTTCAAATCCAACATGCAGGTTGTTATAAACATATTGTTTTGATTTATAGTACGGCTTGATTAGACTGATAATGTCTTCAATGCCTTTACCATTTTCATTGTACTTCATTGATATCAAAGTTAGGCATCCGAGGTTTGCTATTCTTGACACACGAATTCGCTCCCTTAATATGAGCGCCCTTTGTTTTGTTTCGTTTGGTTGGATTCTCAGCAATAAATAATCTGGATGTTAATTAATATCCCAGAAGGCACCTGTCTAGGATTGATTATCATGTCATCAGTTCCAGATATTGGTTTTTATGGCGGGAAACTGCACGTGTACCCAAGATAAAACACGCCACAGATTGAAATTAAATTTCAAGACTTTATTTGCAGAAAACAAAACAGGATCGTTTAACACAGCGGCACATGCTGGCATGACATCAAGTATTCAAGTGTCACGGATTGTGTAAAATGGAAGTTTCATAGACAACTAAATAATCTTCTAAATAGTTTATCTATTTGTCAAATACATTTTGCGTTATTTGAATGCCAGTCTGGATATTTTGGCTAGCTATTTTCAACATGTCAATATATCAGAATAAAATATAAACGATTTCAAATCTTGTAGTATTTATTTGAAACTTTTGGATGGCTTCTTATACAAATATTTCTGACCAAGAAACAATTTTTACTCGGTGCATACATTAGTGGTGAACCACGTTAGTACACATTCAGTACTTTTCATCATGCAGCGTATATAGCGTGGGCGTATATCTACATTAAGTATTTTGTATATTGGAATAATTACTAATATCATAGAGAGTTAATTCTAGTACTACATGCTACATGCATAGATATGCATTTCTGTTCTTAATTTTAAAAACAGCAACTAATTATCCTAGAAGTTCTAGATAAATAAATGATAGTTCTGATAATGTAATGAATAAATGAATCGTTTATTGATTAATTAATATCCAATGAGCGCGCCGATGAGTTGGTTAATTATCAAATAAGAAAGTGAACAATAGAATGAAAACTGAGCAATTGAAGGTAAATATAGTAAAATAAATCATGTTTATCAAGACATCTATAATTATGACAGTGGGTGAGTCGTATTACTAACAGAGGAGCTTTATCTAATATTTAAAATACACGAATGACAATAACCCCTCATCATGGATAGTAGAGTTCATTGATATAGCATCACATTTCACCATGTCGAGACCAAATAGCCCATGAATCACCCCTGATGAAATCTACACTATACTTATTATCTACCTATTACTCAATGTATTAGAGATAAATATTATAAAATAACACTTAGATAAAATATATATATAATACGTGCTTTAATCGACATGGTATACAGAAAGGTTATCAATGCCAATTAATGGCGGGGAAGCAGAGTGTGGTATATAGATAAAACATTGGGGTATATTGGATGTAAGTATAACGGGATCTCGAGAGGTCTGGACCAAATAGACCTTGTTACCAATAGACAGATTCTATCGCTGTCTTTTATTTATTGTAATATATTTAACTAGTAACGGAAAAGGCTTATTATCGTCCGCATTTTGTTCGAGCCAACAAATGCCAGTATATGTAATAAATGCATTTGTTATGCTAATTTGCTGGATTAATTTCGTTCATTTTACATACTTGTAGATTTAAGTATATCACCAGAAAAAGATTAATCTGAATTTAATGTTGATATTTACTGATAGTTTTGTCAATGGCGAAGGATTATTTTTATGTAGGATATTTTTACGGTGTCCATTCTTCATAGATATTTGCGTATATCTATGCAACGTTAATTGTTTATTCTCCTGGGTATTAAATAATTAATACACTAGGGCATTCTCTACCATATTATTAAAACTTATCCCTTCATGGACCCATGCTTGGATTTCATTTCTGTAATCTATAGATAGGCGGCATGTGGCAAAGAGGCGGATATTTTTCAAAGGATCCATTAACAGAACCGAGGATAGTTTTATGAGTTTCGCTCGCGCTCTTAACTCCAAATCTTTTCTATCTATGAAAATGACAGCCAATATACTTAACAGTCATAAATAGGTTTTGTGGCTAATAAATGTCTAAGTAAACCGAGTGTATCGTGTTTAGATCTATCCCATCGCTTCTCCTTACTATCAAATACACGATCATAAAATAGATTTAAACCCACCTTAAACCCTATGTCATAGCACATAAAGACGACAGGAAATAACTTCAATTAACACCAAAATGTCCTTCCCACATCCATAAAACTACCGCCCATTCACAGCTACAGCCTAATAGAAAAACATTTCCAAGCGCAACGACTAAGAAGTAAACTTTATGACTTGATAAAGTTAACAAATAGGGTATTCTCTCTTTAGTGTGAATATTGCTTTCAGATGACAAATAAACCGAGCCTCCTGGTAGCCTCAGTACCAGGCAATCACACCATCATAAGAACTAAATATTGTCAAAATTGTGTAACAGAGCGCTTGGGGTTAGTAAGGAACAAGGCAACATAAACCTTGCCAATCGAACCCCAAAAGGCGTGATCAAGGTGTTCGGTGTGCGTGTGTGTGTGAGGTCCGAGCAATAAATAGCCAGGGGGCTTGTGTAGTTCTAAGCTCATTGATACTAAAGCAATCTCATGTCCACTAACAAGACCTCATAAAAGATGACCAATTCAAACTGTGTTTAATTACCGCGGGAGAGTAAAATCCTTTTAAGCAGTGAATGGGTTATCGTTCCTGAAAATCTAAAGTCGCTGTTGATGAGGGTTTTATGCGGTGATTTTCTAGTGTATTATCGGTGTGGTGGGCGATAAAATTGATGGTCCCTTCGTATTTCTAATTAAATCTCATCTTTATAACCTCTCGTTAATGTCATATACTTTTATTTACTTCATAAATCGCATACCATTGTCTTCAATAGCGATCGATAGCTGGGTTACTCTTATTGGTTCGTGAAGGGCATATTTTAGGGTCATATGGTGTAGGTCGCCATTATTTTTAGATGAATTTATCCTCTCTGATAATTATTACAATTTCAGAGAATAAATAGTAAAAGTTGTGTTCGCTTAAGCCCTAATTTCTGATATTTAATATCATAAATTAGGACCTAAAAATGCTATTCTGAAACACTTGGTACCACTTTTCATTTGTTAAAGAGTTCACTTAGTAGACATCTTTGTATTATATTCAAGCAAAATGTGTATTTCTTGACTTCTCAAAGTTGTAATTTCACATAAATGTAGGCGACATAGCCTCATTATTTACGATTACACAAATTTTTCGAGCTATTGATATCTCGCTAGCTATGCTCCAGGAATTACCGGTGGGGAAAGGGCTGGCAAAACATGGCGACACTTTAGATGTTATGTACAGTTTCCCTCGCCTTGAGCACAGTTCAAAGACAAGCATATCATTTACATATTTTCATTATAGTAGCCACATGATACACACGTGTTGTTGATATCACGGAGTTCAGTTATTTTACTCTTATTAGTTACCGTTTGGTTTATGGTTTTCTTTCACTTTGATAGTTTTCACTTTTATTAATTAGACAATTTTGGTTGTTTATGAGATCGTTGAATTAGAAAGGATTTAATGTGGTGCCGAACCCCTATGCCATAAAATGGCCAATCCCTTGCCCATTGACATTCCAAAAATAATTGATTTGCATAAATCTTGAAAAAGAGTAAACTATTTTATATAGAGATGAAAAGTTAACGATTTCCCCCTACTAATTATCAAATGTTTGATGTTTTTCAGGCTGTTGATGCTAATATGAAGGTGGATTGTAAATGTCACGGTGTATCGGGATCGTGTGAGATGAGAACGTGTTGGAAAGCAATGCCATCATTCAAAAAAGTGGGAGAAATATTAAAAGAAAAATTCGATGGAGCCACGGAAGTCAAACATCAAGTAAAAGGAACCAGGAATGAATTGGTTCCGTTAAATCCACAATTTAAAAGACACACAGAATCCGATTTAGTTTATATGGTGGCTTCACCCGATTTTTGCGAAGCCGATAAAAAGACTGGGTCATTAGGTACCCACGGACGTATTTGTAACAGAACGTCGAAAGCGATAGACGGTTGTGAATTATTGTGTTGTGGGCGTGGTTACAGGACTCGTATTGTGACAGTAGTAGAAAGATGTATGTGTAAATTCTTATGGTGCTGTTACGTCAAGTGCAAAGAATGTGAACGTAAAGTGGAAGAGCACACGTGTCTGTGAAATTATTTTGGACGTGTTATGTTATTGTTTTCTGTTACTTAAATCGTACACTATGTCCGCCCAGTTGTAGTCCCATAAAAAGTCCCTTTTAAAAATATGGTGTTCAAAAGGCCATAACCGTGAAACACCAACCTTCAGTTCTATAGATCTGTTATTAGAAAAGAAAAAGTTTGAAATTCACACTCTACAAACTTTATGTGCACTTCGTGCTAAAAGCAGTGTTCAAGATTGACCAATAAGACACGTTGAATGAACACAAAATGTGATGACGTGTCGATAATGGACACGAAGATGATTGTCAATACATGCAACGATTGACCTCAGTTTTATTTAAAAATTTGTAAATATTGTCGCATTTTTGCTATGTTATGTGTAAATGTTCGCGCTCTATTTATTATTGTTATACGTATGTGTTTAATCTATGAGTGCCTATTGTATAGAAATTAGACTCAGGAGACAAGGACGTCAGTATTTTAGTGCTTATCTCCCCTTTGTTGTAGACCAATCATATGGCCAGTTTTATATCACGTGTTAGTGACGTGTAGGACCAAGAGTTCTTGTGGTAGTGATGACGCCATTATTTGAATCTCAAATCTCAAAATAGACTAATGATATTCATGTAGATGCTAATTGTTTTTATTATTTATAGAGTAATACTTTACTTTCTCTTAATTCAGAACTTACAGATTCTACTATGTTCGTTTAAGTGAATTTGTGCCTAAATTAGAAACCCGTTAATAAAATTTAAATAACCATAGATCCCAATTATTTATTCTTCCAGGAAAAAATGAAGTACACTTCCCGAAGTGTACAATGAGACTGTTGGTAACTGTTCTTCCTCTTCTGAATGAGCATTTATGATGTATAAATTTGTATTGAATCCTGTACTGACCAGGGTAATTAATGCCGTATTTGTTAATTATATGTTATTGTTAGATATATTATCGTTTTTGTACTATTTGTATAGAAAGATTTTTTTGTATAGTATCATTTATTGTAAAATATAGAATATGTAGTATAATGAATCGTGTAAACAATTCTGTTTGTAAAATATGGAAAAATAAGATAAATTTTTGATTGTATATATTTTGTTTGTAGTTTGTTTTATTTGGAGCGATGTTCTTGTCATATTAAATATTGCAGTTGTTGACATCACGTTTGTCAGCCTGCGGAGGCGATATATTATGTGACGCATCAGTATCTGAAGTTTATTTCGGATTTTGATCCAAGTATAGTTTATTTAAACACAGACCCTTCAATTAAATTGTTGATCTTTATCTGAAGATTTGAGTACAGACTCAGTGAGGACACGTTGATTCAATAATCCATGTAATACCCGCCATCAGACCGGGGTGGCGTCCTTACTGCGCTGCTACAGCGACGGAAAATGGTCCCAGAGCGCGCCAAGATCGCCATAAGCGTGCCAAAGGCGTGTTGAACGCCAGATATCGTGCTGTGGTCTCCATGGTCGCCAAAGATCGCCGAGTCACGGCGTTTGTTTTGAGCATGTTCAAAACAAACGCCAAGGCTCTGCGATCTGACCTGGAAATCTGTGAGAACGCGACTTTTTTCAAGTCTGTAATTTATGGGGACATTTTCTCGCGTTGTGTTCACGTTTGCCGACGATCTGGTGCATTTTCTGGTCGCCGTACAGCCGCAGCAGCTCAGTAAGGACGCCACACCGGTCTAACGGGGGCATTAGAGAGTGCACTAGCGTCTTCTTGAAATATATTGCTGTTCTCGAAAAATATTCTCACTGTCCAGATATAATTATTGCACTACCACCAAGAGCAGTCTAAGGCTCAGTTGTATATCCACACAGCACCAGCTAGGAACACCCAACTAAATTCAAAAAGAATCATTTTGAAGTCTCCAATTTGAATATACTGCAGAGAATGATAAGTTTCCATTCAAAAAGGATGCTGAGGTTTATTTAGATCAACCTTGTAGCATTGGAAACATCCCCTTCTTCCACGTTGTTCGGATACTGCAGTGGTTCCCAATGCATTTTCGTTCGCAGACCCCTTGGGTCATTTTACATATCTACGAGACCCCCACACTCCTATACACATCTGCATATACTATATTTATTCAGATTTCTCCATATAATAATAACAAATTTATTCGGTAATACACACATAATAAATTGATTATAAAATTATTGTGCAATACATGTATATATGTGTATATTAATAAAAAAAATAACATGCAGATTTAATGCTCCTGTCTCTGAAACCGTTTACACATTCCAAATCTCAGATATGTAAGGATATTGCCACACGTCTGGATATCACTTCGGTGGAAGCGGATGTTAAGTAAAGGTATTTCACACACACGTTTGAAAGCAATGTAATAGTATGAAGTAGAGGAATAAGCTAATAGTGCACCTGATCGAGGGAAAAAATATATATTGATTAAATAATGACCATCCCGAAGAATGGAGGAATGTGCAATTTGCTGGGAATGTAGTTTTCAGTCAATAAATCGCATTTCACTTAGCATGGAGGTTTGGTATCGTTAAGAATGTCAATGACTAAACCAAAAAAACAACAAAACAAATCAGTATCAGAAACTTTGATTACCAATGTACCTTATCTGCTCATTGATCATGTTCTTTTGAATAGATATTAATTGATATTAATTTACATACCAATGATTGGAATTTGTTTTTTATTTCGATTTATATCAAATATTACATATTATCACGTGTTTGTAGTAATGTAATTAATAAATAATCAGCAGAAGTTTTCGTCTTTAATAACGTAATTATTTCGGTGTATTGCGGTACATAAAGAATACATCGAACGAGTTGACTATTGAACATTAGCTTTAGGATGCTGGTCGGAGATTGGTTTTTGAAGATAGGTCTGATCAAATTCTAAATTTTATTCATTTAAACGAAGCGAATTCATCGTGGAAATAGACAGCTGCGGGCCCTTTCCAAAGTGTCAGTGGAACTGTGGAAGCATAGCTTATGCCCCCGTCAGACCGGGGTGGCGTTCTTACTGCGCTGCTGCGACCGTACGGCGACCAGAAAATGCACAAGGTCGCCAGCAAACGTGAACATAACACAAGAAAATGTCTCCCAAAAATTACAAACTTGAAAAAAGTCGCATTCTTATAGCTTTTCAGTTCAGATTGCAGAACCTTGGCATTTCCTTTGTAAATGCTCAAAGCAAACGTCGTGAATCGGCGATCATTGGCGACAATGGAGACCACAGTACGATAGCTGGCGTTTTTACCATGCTTATGGCGTTCTTGACGCACTCTAAAACCATTTTTCATCGCCGTAGCAGCGCAGTAAGGACGCCACCCGGGTCTGGCGGGGTCTTACATTTTAACTTGCATTGTTCTTCGGCGTGTCAGATTGAACCGATCAAATGCGAATCCCTCGTTCACGTTCTAGAATTTGCGGAGGGGATTGGGGGCGTTCATATTGAACGTTCAAGCATAGGAGTTTAATAGTAACCGGCGTTCGAATACGCCCCAATTCGTCCCGATCAAAATGTTTAGCTTTATCCAAACCCCTAAAACTCAACTATATCATTTAGCACAATCAACAACTAAAAACATGCACGTGTTGCTTCTTAGACCTTTCTTTTCGAAAAACTTTAAGTAAATTGTTAGACATAACGATCATTCCATACGTTGTTCAAGTACTGTGTATATCTTTTTCCTAGGCCATTATATTAATGACAAATCAATTTATTTATACACTGATAATTTATACATTTATAGAAAAAAGGGGGTAGAATTTATTTTATTTAGAGAAAACGTCTATTATAATTAATTCTAACACAATCTCAGCCTGTGTGATAAAGCTAACATCAAACGTCAGGTAATTTGTTGAGTACTGGAAGTGAAGTGGCAAATTAAGTGGAATATATATACATAAACAAGAACATCTTTATTTTACATGAAAATACGTTTTAAGATAAATAATTGATACCGAGAAGATGAAATGTAGTTGAATGTCTCGTCAACATTACAAAGGCAACTTTAAAAGTAACATTCATGCATTGCAGTGCTAGAACATGTAACTTTGATATCCAACAGATCCATTGTTATAACCATTTTATGCTGTTAATATTGATTTCAGAGACAGTATTTCAATCTGATTGATCAGAGATAAATTTTGTGGTAAATTTTTAATATTGTAGACACTGCATCGCAGATCGATAGAATGCATGCCAGATAATAGAACGTGTTTCAGATCAAACGAAGTCATCTCTGATCAAAAGAATGAATCCCTCATCAGCAGAATGTACCTTGGGTCTATAGACCGAATCTCAGATCGAGAGACAATATCATTAAAGAATGTATCTCCGATCACAGGGCAGTATCTCCGATCACAGGGCTGTATCTCCAATCAATGAAATGTAAACACCCTGTATCTCAAATCGGCGGAATGCATTTCAGCTTAATAGAATATATCTCAGATCAATAGAATGCATTTAAGATTAATAGAATATCAGACCAGTAGAATGCATTTAAGATTAATAGAATTTATCTCATATCAGTGGAATGCATTTCAGATTATTAGAATATATCTCATATCAGTGGAATGTATTTCAGTTTAATAGAATATATCTCAGACCAGTGGAATCTATTTCAGTTTAATAGAATGTATCGCAGATCACCGGAATACACTTCAGATTAATATAATGTATCTCAGATGAGTTGGATGAGTGTACTTGCGATTCACAGACAGACGCAGCAGCCACACCTATAACACAATGTGATTGATTTATACTGCCAGATCAACGACGAGACCTGAAGCTTCCTCTCAATTGAATAATATGTATTGCAGATCAGTACCGTGTACTTGCACCTCGGCTATCGATGATTTTTGTACCCACAGTATATTTAATGGAAATAAAGTTGATAGGCCCTTAAATCCAGTAAGTATATTTCCGATCTATTGAACTTATAATATACAGAGATCAATATATAGCTTCAGGCAATCCATTTTATATCTCAGTAAAATATAAATGCATGAAATGGCGTTTAACGTCCTACTATTCTGATCCGATTGGACAAATGAAGACAGTGAATAAATATTGATTCTAAAAATATCGATTATAAAACTGATAAACTCTCTAATCGATTGATTGGATTTACAATATCTGCATAGATATAATTAAGATACTAATTTCTTAATCTACATTTATTATCTCTGATAAATACTTATGGGCTTTAGTAAATGATTGGCCAAGTATATGGAACTACGAACATTAGAATTATACATCCACGCCTCTACAAGATAACGAGATATTTGAAACGACTTATTAATGTAGAGTTTCTAGTTTCTAACAGAAATACACATACCATACATGTTTACACCAGCTTTAACATATACTGATCAATATCAGTAAGAAATAGTAGCTTCTTTCCTTCTATTCTAAATAAACAACACAAGGAAAGTCGCAATGGCGGAGTTGACAATTACACCCACCCCCGGCCTCGCCAACTCCCTATAGTAGATTTATCTGAAACGCCCCCTGTCCTCGCCTCTTATAAACTTCCCATGTTAAAAAAAAAAATGATTTCTAGTGACAAGAACTGTACCCACAACCACAACGTCGTTGACGCCATCCATAATGATTGAGATTAACTGAAAGCTAATATAATCTTTGATTGGCATTTAGCAATCGGGAAACACATTAATCGAATACAGTTTGTATGTGGTACAATCACTAGTTTTATTCTTAACGTCGAAATGTCGTGCTTTTAGAATAAAACTAGTGATTGTACCCCATACAAACTGTGTTCTATTAATGAAAGCTAACAGAAGACATTATTCCTGCCCAAAAGAGGAGGTGGTGACCCCCAGTGAAGTTTACAACAGATATAATAAAGGGGAGTAACTCTGGGAGACGGAAATCGTTCAAAACTGAACAATCACTGGCATTGTATTTTATATGATTATGAATATCTGACAACGTGAAACTGTAGCCTACTGTATGGTCTGGAAATAGAATAATTGAAAACGATTTACCAGTGTCCTATTCATGGGGGCAAATAGATAATATAAAGGTAGGTAACACGTGGTTTTCATTAAGATAAAAATGATAACGTTTAA